CGGGCAGCGAGTCCGACGCCGCCGAGTCTGCGGAGGCCGCTGGGCCGGGCGCTGTCCGCGCGGGCGGGAACGGGCGGGACGGGGAGGCGCGGGCTCCTGTCCTGTTACCAACTTTCCCGCGTCGGTTTTGTTAATAAGCGTCCGGGACTTTGAGTTCATTCCCACCCACGGTTACCTAGGCCGGCTGTAAACGGCCTTAGTGGGTGAAAGTAGAGGACCCGTTGCCCGTTCTGTCTTCGCTGCAGCCGGGTCTGTAGGGCTCGCCACCCCTGGGCGCCCCTGCGCAGCACGGTCTGCACGGCTCCCCGCTGGACGGAGGGAGCAGTCTTGGGGTTCGGTAGCTCGCCCAAGGTCATTCCCGGGGAATGACAGCGCCAGGGTTCAGGCCCCGCATGTGATGGCCAGAGCCCACCGCCTCTCCATCTGGTGCCTCTGGCACTTGGCTTGTCAAGTTGCAGAAGTCATCTGTTCCACCTGGCCCCTTCTGAGTTCACCTGTGGGCACCCCAGTCCGCCATCCCGATCCTCTTGTGGCTCCTTGCTGGTGCTGTTGAAGGGCTTGGCTGATCCCTGGGTAAAGTGGCCACAGAAGCTGGGCAGTGATGGCTGCTGAAGGAGAGAGGGTCGGCCAGTGGGTGGGGACTGTAGGAAGGAGCTGTCAGCCAGGTCTCTCTGGCCCTTCGGGGTGGGCTTGGACGTTGGTCCCTCCAGACAGGCCCCCGGCCCCACTGCTGTGGGTAGAACTGGCACCTTGGGTTTTCGCGGTTTGTGGGTCTCTTGGAAGTATCCTTGGGAGGGTTTGTAAAGCGCAATCCCGGGGTGCCCATAGATCCCAGTCCTGGACTCAGTGTTCCTGGGACTCCAGGGCTGGCGTTTGTGCCCACCCATGCTGGCTGATTTCCTGGGGAGGAACGACCTCTCAGAGTGGTCTGGGTGACCCAGCCTTTGTCCTCTCTCTGCAGGCCGACACTACCCTCAGGGCTCAGCTGTGGGCTCCCAGGCCTAGGCGCCCATGACCCCTACGCTGCCCACCGCCTGGACACTGCCACCGCAAGCTAGCGCCGCTCCTGGGACCAATGCCGGTCATGCCCATCCCCCGGCGGGTGCGCTCCTTTCACGGCCCGCACACCACCTGCCTGCACGCGGCCTGCGGGCCCGTGCGCACCTCCCACCTGGCCCGTACCAAGTACAACAACTTCGACGTCTACATTAAGACGCGCTGGCTCTACGGCTTCATCCGCTTCCTGCTCTACTTCAGCTGCAGCCTCTTCACGGCGGCGCTCTGGGGCGCGCTGGCCGCCCTCTTCTGCCTGCAGTACCTGGGCGTGCGTGTCCTGCTGCGCTTCCAGCTGAAGCTGTCGGTGCTGCTGCTGCTGCTGGGCCGCCGGCGCGTGGACTTCCGCCTGATGAACGAGCTGCTCATCTACGGCATCCACGTGACCATGCTGCTGGTTGGGGGCCTGGGCTGGTGCTTCATGGTCTTCGTGGACATGTGAGGGCACCGCGTGGCCCTCCCCCCATGCTCTGCTTACCGAGCCGGCCTTCGGCCCTGTTCCGTCCTGGGTGGGCTGGTCAGGGCCCTTTTCCTCTCTGCCCCGCCCAGCCCCCGGGCGAGGTCTGCAGCACAGGAGTGAGGCGGTGCTGCCCCCGGCTCCCACGCAGGGGAAAAGGGCTGAGACTCTTCCGTGATGGGGACACTGGCACCTTCCTCGGGCTGGCTTTCTGCGCTGACCCTCCCTGTGTGCACGTTTGGGGCAGTGTCCCCTGTGGCTGCCTGCTGGTGGCTGCTGCTTGCACTTTTTCAGGTTGCACTGGAGGGTGGCTGGTCTGTCCCGTCTGCCTCCATGTGGGCTCCCCACCCCTGTCCTCCCTATAGGACCACGTCTGGTGGTGACTTCAGGCGTCACCAGCAGCGTGGGAGACCCACGGATACAGTGGGGTCTGCTGCTCAGAAGCAAATCCAGAGGGGGACCCTCCTGGCCACACAGCCCCCTTCCTTCGCACCTCTGGTCCGGGCCTCAGCCTCAGGAATGAGGGGGCTTCACTAGCTGCTACACCACACTGCCACTAAGCTGTTCACTCTGCCCTGGGCTACCTGGCCCTGGCAGAGCCCAAAGACCACCCTCCTCTCTCACGCTGAGGTGGGTCCTGAGTCACCTTGGTTTGCTTAGATGCAGTTTAGCAGGGAGCCACGGAGGGGCTCAGTCTCGAGGGGATCTCAGCAAGTTCCTAGCTCGGGGGGCCGGCTCCAGAGCAGACGGCGGCAGATCTGTGTTCATCCCGGACGGGGCTGTTGAGAATGTTTAGTGAATGCTGTAAATCCCTTCAGATGTGGATTTCTGGGGAGGCAATTCCATTCCTTTTTGGCTTTTGGGGGAGGGGGTGGCCTCTGTTCAAGAGAACACCCAGAATGGAGACCTCATCTCGAGCATCTGGATCGGACGGCAGAGGCCTCCGCGAGGCTCTGCGCGGACCTGAGTGGGCACCACGGTTATAGGAGCAAATGCTCTGGGCTCCCAGCTGGGTGTCCAGTGTTGGCGAAGGGCGCGGCTGCTCCTCTGCCTTCAGTGGCGGTCAAGGCATCTGGGATGTCAAAAGCCAAAATGACCGTGTGGCAGGGGCTGGTGGGCCAGGGAGGGGCACAGGGGTGGAGTTCAGGGTCCTCAGGGTCCTTGAGGTCCTCTTCGACCTCAAGAAGGACACACCTGGGATCCAGGGGCTCACCAGCCCCCTGGCTCTGACCCTGTCTGTGGGGGGCTGGCAGTCACTGCAGGCAGAGACAGGCTGCACAGGAGCAGGACACGGGGCCCCAGGACGGAGCGTGACACATAGGCTGACACTTGATTCACCCCAAACTGTTGCTCCCCCAAGGCATGGGTGGGGGCCCCTTTGACCCTGCCTGCCAGGCGGACCAGTGGCCTGGGGGTGGTTAGGACAGTGTGTGCCACTGGAAGAGACCCTTAGAAAAACCCAAATCAGGTAGAGAAAGCAAAAAATACTTGGCTGCAAATCATGCTGTGTAGTTTGTAGCCAGCTTGTGCTCGCTGATCTTCCCACTCGAGGTCAGCGGACGGCCTGGCGGGGCAGCTGCCTGGTCCCCGCGGGCGGGCGAGGAGCGGATCCCTTCTTGCTGCAGAGAACCGTTTGCACTAAATCATGCTGTTTCCTCAAAGAAGCTTTTTGTTGATTAACTCGTTACTTAGAACCACCGCACCCCTCGCTGAGGGTGCAGGTGGGTGCGTGTCTGCGGGACGGGGTGGCGGGGGTCTGGCTGTGCTGCCTGGACCGCGAGCGCACAGCGCAGGGAGTCGCGGCCCCTTGTTCCACGCTGCTTTGTGTCCCGGTGCCTGTGAAATTCTTACTGAGGTCAACCACCTGCATTAAACCTATTTTCTTAACGTCTTGATGGAGTGACTGTTTAAAGCTTAAAATTTTTACTTCTTTTTTTTAAGGCTATAATAACCAAAAGCACCGTAGAAACCATTTTCTCCTGTAAAAGTGAGAGAGTTTGTGAGAGCATTCATTTTTGATGTTGGGAAGGAATCCTTGAGGCCGCTGTTCTGCTGTGGGAAGCTGTCCTGGGGAGGGGCCCCGCTGAAGTGGGAATTTGTCAGTGGGGAGGGTCACCCGGTCACCGAGGCGCAGGCTGCATTCAGCTGGTCAGGTGGTGTAGGGTCATCACATAAAGATGGGGACGTGTTTCTGACACACTGGGAGGAAAGCAGGATTTGGGACGGTAAACACAGGTGCTCCAGGTTTCAGGGGAGAATGCATAGCATAGAAAAAGGTCAGAAGAAAGAGTAAACCAAAGCTGCAGGTGTTTTTGTTTGGTTTTGAGACAGAGTCTCGCTCTGTCACCGAGGCTAGAGTGCCGCGGTGTCATCACAGCTCACGGCAGCCTCTGACTCCTGGGCTCAAGCGATCCCCCCGCCTCAGCCTCCCGAGTAGCTGGGACTAGAGGTGCACCTCCACCTCATTTGGATAATTTTTCTATTTTTTTGTGGAGACAGGGCCTTGCTCTTGCTCAGGCTGGTCCCAAACTCCTGACCTCAAGTGATCCTCCCGTCTCAGCCTCCCAGGGTGCTGGGATTACAGGTGTGAGCCACTGAGACAGTCCCCAAAGCTGCAGTTCTTATTTAGCCAAAAAGCAGTTTGAAAAGGGAGCGACTTTATTATTTAGAATCTTTATTTTGTAAAGGCTTCTCTGAAGGAAAAATTCATGTTTCTCATTTTTTCACTTGGAAAGATTTCTCCAACGTGGTGAAGATGGTGGCGACTTACCTCCAAGCAGCCGCTAACGGCCAGGAAAGCTGTGGCTTCAGCCACACAGCACCCAGCCATCGTTTGTGGGTTTTTGTGAAACTAGACGTTTCACAAAACTAAACTTGTGGGGTCTGGTTTTTGATGGCAGAGTTTGTGAAATCCCTCCAGAAGGCTTTGCCCCTGAAAGCAGCATGGGCGCTTGGGTGGGTGAAGTCTGTCTCACCAAACCTGGGGCTGAGGCTTCGTGTGGAGCGTTGCTTCCCAGCCAGGGCTTCCAGCCTGAGGGTCTGGGGTGGGCCAGGGGCTCCTCACGTGGCACAAGGGTTGCCAGGCCTCGGCTGAGCACTGAGGTGGGCGCAGGGCCGGGTGTGCCGCTCAGCGTTGCCCGTGAGCCCAAAGCTGGGCCAGTTAGCAAGCAGGCCCTCTGGGGCGCTTGGCCTCAGAAGAGCAGGCGGTACTTTGCTTTGCTGGGTGGGGGTTGGGGTGGCTGTGCCGGCGACAGTGGCCATGGCAGGCCACTCACCACGCCACAGGGTGCGGGTGCCCGGGCTGCATGTGGGGCCACCTGCTTTCCTGGGAGCCTCCCTGGGCCTCCTCACCTGGCCTCACCCTTGTTTTGGGGGTTTGGGGTGTCTTCAGTTTTCACTTGTTCCTTGTCTGGGCCGCCTCCACCGGACAGGGTTCCCTTCAATGGTGGAAACGCTCTACCTGCGCCATCCGGCACGGGAGCCACCAGCCCTGGGTGGCCCCTGAGCACAGGGAGTGACGTTGCTGTGACCAAACCACTGAATATTTAATCAGACCCAAGGTGACGGTTCCCGAGTAGACAGCCACACGTGGCTGGATCATATCAAGGGCGTGTTGTGGGCTCCAGTAGCCGAGGGGCTTCCCAGGGGCCACAGTGTGGCTTTGGGGGTCCCAGCTGAGCCAATTCTTCCTGGGGATTTGACGGGCTTCGCTCCCCCGTGGGCCTGCCGCCCTCGGCTGCGTGAACCAGATGTTCTCCATGGGACACGCACCGTTTTCAAAGTTGTTCCCCGTGGAGGCCCCAGATGAGAGGCTGCCTGGGGCTCACCCAGCCCCTCTGTCCCCAGCGGCAGACACATAGACCAGGCCACGATGCGCGTACTGGTTTAGGCCCCCCCAGGGAGAGGTCTCAGGGACCTCTGATGGCGCTGCTGCCAGGGGCTCTCTGTTGGGGCAGCCCAGGGACCCCAGCAGCGGCTGTGCCTCCGCCGGGTGGGCAAATGCAAGGGCCACTCCCCAGGGACCGGGCACTCTGTCTTTGACCTGGAGGCCGGAGGAGGCTGGCAGCCCTGGACCAAACCCTGAACACTGACACAGGGACATGCTGCTGCAGGGGCGGGAGGAGCAGAGGCCCTGGGAGGGAGGGGAGCGGAGGTGAGAAGCGGCCCCTCTGCCCTCTGAGGACGAGCGGAAGAGCCAGGCCGGGAGAGCACAGCCGGGCGTGGGTGCAAGCAAGCAGCCAGGGTTGGTGTCCAGCCTGTCCCTGCGCCAGCGGCATCGTGCCCAGTAGCTCCGAGAGCCCGACTGCTCCCCACCATCCTGGGACACCAGCTTGGGGGATTTGGGGTCTCTGTTGGTGATGAGGGGAACCCACAGTCGGGGAGGGGCTTGTGCCGGGGAGTCCCTAGAAAGACGGCCCTCACTCGGGTGGGCTGGGTGTTGCCCGGTCCCGGCACGGGGTGCGTGCAGTGCCGTTGAGGGTGCCTCTCTTGGTCCCCGCACCGTGCAGCTGCCTCTGGCAGCCCCTCGCAGAGACCCCACCCTCAGCTTCCACAGGCAAAGCCACAAAGCGTGCACACACGTTGAGACGGCTGTGGCCCCTGGAGGTGGCAGGACAGGACAGGACAGACAGCAGCTGAGGGTGGGCCAAGGGGGAGGGCCGGCCAGACAGCCCCCCTGGGAAGCCCAGCAGGTGGGTGCCCTGGACTAGGGCACAGCCCAGGGGCTGGGAGGCTCCGTGCTAGTATCGATGTTCCGTGACCTTGGGAGCCGTCACTCCCAACACTGTGGAGGGAGGGAGCAGGGCAGTGCCTCCCAGTGCTGATTCAGCATTTCCGGGGGAGGGAACCGTGCTCCAGGCTTGATCTGCAGAGGCCAATGCGCTGCTCTCTCTTCCGTGGGCCCATTTGGAAAGGGTCCCTCTCAGACCTCCTCCCCTAGGAGCTCGGGCCACCTTGCCCCTAGCTGCAGGGAGCAGCACCTCGTAGGCAGGCCTGCAGAGGCCACTTTGCAGAAAACCCCCAGCAGTCTGGCAGCCCCTACCCGTTGCCAAGAGGCAGCCCCGCTGGCCACCAGCATCCTCGCCCAGCGGACAGTCCCCAGCAGCTGATTCAGCGGCTATAGGGCAGGCACCCCTCCCCCAGCCCAGCTGGGCAGGGTGCCCAGGCTTGCTGGCAGCTGTCACACGGGGCTCTGGCAGGGCTGCTGTGGCTCGAGGTGTGTGGCCCGCACTGCGCTTGGGGGAGGGGTGGCAGACTGCTGCGGCAGCGGCTGCCAGGCACCCCGCTTAGGGCTGGCTCCCCCATGCAGCCTGTGCAGCCTCCTGCAGAGGAGAGGCCTCTGGGAGGTGCCGAAGGAATGCCGGCCCCAGGGAAGTGACCGCCTCCTAATCCAACAGCTAGGGTACACCGACCCCTCCACATCCAGTCTCCCAGAAGCCCAGCCCAGGGCAGAGGCTAGCAGGGGCAGGCGGGCAGGGCTGCTCCCAGCCACCTGTGGGAGCAACCTGGGCAGAGGGGAGGGCGGGGAACCTCACCTGGCCCACGGGTTTGGGTTTGTTCCAGCTGTGGGTGCTGGTGGCAGGCTGGGGGATGATGGGTGCCACTGTCCTGGCCCAGGGAATGGGGCAGGAGGTGTCAGCTCTGGGTGGGAAGTGGGCTCCGTGAATGGGCTGGCCACGGCTTTGGGACAGACTCTGCAGCGTAGGGTGGGGAGAGGGGGCGGGCTGAGCAGGAGCCTGGGGTCAGTGGGGGGTGCGAGTGAGGACGGTGGGGTGAGGGGGCCCTGGTTGGGTCAGGACCAGCACAGTCAGCAGGCCCCAGGACAGGCTGGGGTCTGTGGCCAGAGGACGGGCGCGGCCTGGAGAGGGCAGTGCTCTCCCCACCTCTCCGAGCCCTGAAGAGTCCCCAGCCCGCCATTCGCCAACTGAGGACAGTGTCATTCTGCTTTCTCAGGACATGCATGACTGGCCACGTGAACAGTCCACATAGAGATCAATCAAGTCTAGGCTGGTGGACAGCAGAGGGAGGGGCCGCGGTGGGCAGTGGCCAGCACTGAGTGGGCACGCCTTGGGGGGTGGCCGCAAATCCTGCCAGCTCCAGGAGGTCCTGCCTCCCACAGGGCAGGCCCGGGCGGGCTGCACGGCC